ATACCAGTGAAGCTATGCTATTATGGCAGGTTTCAAATGTATCTCAGAATATAACAAAAAATATGTATTTAATTTGTTTGTTTGTATTTATTATTTTATTTGTTATATTTGTAAAATTGGTATTACATAATAATAAATCATATTTATCTTGAATTCATTATTACATTTTATATTATTCATTTATAGATTGAAGTTAAAATTTTTGTCAGATGACTGTATACATTGTATTATTATCTCAAATTGTCTTCAAAGTTCTCCCACCACACTCCTATATTGGTTACTTTCTATATCCTCTTCTCACAAATAATTTCTTGAATTACTCCCCGATTAATCTGATTCACGAGCACTAAAAATAATTATGAATCTTTGACACCTATTATATGTGATCTATTTCTATATCAACAACCAGTTAGGTTCTAGTCATTAGTTAAATTTTAGTCCTATTCTTAACCTTCAAGTTAATCATACTGTTTGTTATTGTGCTGGGCTTGCTTTATGTATGTGTATAAATAAATATAAATAGTACATATATATTTTGTAAAAGGGCAATACAAACAAATAAATGATTGAGTATGTCACTGTAGTATTGAATGTCTTAAATTTGAATTCAATGATAAATTATTGTATTAGAAAAACATTTTTGTGTGCAAACGACATGAATGTCTCTATTTCTAAAGATCACTATTAACTATTTATGTCACTGATGCTAATTTTTATGTAAAGTTACATAAATAATAGTTCAAGACTAATTTTTGATAATAATATCACATGTATAAATGTATTATACAATTATTATTATTATGAACTTTTAAGTTGATATCAACAAACTAGAGGAGGGTCAAATTCAAAAATATTGTCTAGAATTAACTTTTCCATTTCATATTGAACAGAACCTTTACCTAACATCAATCCAAACCACTATCATGTTTGATTTTAATCTATTAAGTATAAATAATTCAATAACACAAAAAATAATCACTGTTTGGACAATAATAAGGGTTTAACTGTATTAAAATTAAATATAACAATAATGCAACTAGAATGAACATTCAACTTTCCACTTTAAAAATGATAAACGCAAGTGTATTTTTAGTCGATAAAATAGACAATACACTGATTTCATTCCATTTATACGTCACACCATAAAACACCTCTGGTCCACACAACGGCTTGATCTCCCAGCAGAATTTGTCACACGCTCCTACCTGCACCTGCCCATGTCTATAAACTGAACTTAAATGACTCTCCACTTTACATTTAACAGAGTCTTTGTGATATTTCCCACATCCTTTTCGACTGTCCTTCTTTGCACACAAAATGCATTTCTCTGTTTGATTCCCTCAAAGCTCTTAATATCACCCCCAACCTTTTTTCTATTCTTAATTCAAACTCAGAAGTAGCCATAAACCTAATCATAGCCTTTATATTGGAGGCTGGCTTTAGCATCTAATTTACTTAGATGACATTGAATTATTTTAATTTTACAGTATGATTGTTATTCCTTTTAATCGTTAAGCTATAATTGTTGAACAGTGTGAATAAGTTCATAGTATAAATATTTTGAAATTGTCACCAAATATAGAAAATAATAATATATATATATAATGGCAAAAACAAATACATTCATTGCTTCACACAGAATCTAAAATGAACCCTTAAAACTAAACTATTTTAATAAATATTGTATATTTAGCTATTTACTTACACAACTTCTATAAATTCTTCTATTTTAGACCCAGCATTTTGTTCAATTTCTTCAAAATTATTCTATAAAATAATAATATTAATAACTAAGATAAATTAATATTTTATTTTGAAAATATTTATAGTACAATAAGTTAGTGAGGACCTTTTTTTTCTAGATTGGGGCTTAATATTTTTACTATTAGACTTTGGAAAAAATATTGTTGTAAAAATAAACTAACAATATATTAACAACGGCAATTAATATCTCAAACTGTAATCTTAGTGATAAACTTGATGTTAATATGTTTATGTCTAGATACTAAAGTATATGTGAGGGATGATTAGGTGGTTAAGAAAATTAATATATTTTTAAAGAAATTATAATATATTAAAATATTTGATAATCATTATGTATGCTTACTATGTTAGAATTGGTGGTAAATAACTGCGAGATTATATCATCCGATATTTCTGTTGGTGGTTTACATATATTTTTGTAATCAGCCAACTGATTTTCAATATGATACATAAATAATATACCATCACTTGATAATACACATAATACTGGCATTGGGTCAAGAAATATTTCTTCATTTGATTTAGATACTGTAACAGTTTTCATTTTAATAAGGTTATTTAAAAATTAAATAATAAATATATTTACATTGCTTTATTTGCATTTGAGAAGAAAGGTCTAATGACATTCCTAAAGGATACATTTGTTTATCAAGTCTGTATGGTAACTCTGGTCTTGTTTCTAACATCCAACATTGCCATTGATTTTCATTATTTATTCCCATTACACCAATTTCTGTACAATTTGAAGAAGCGACAAATAGAAGATTCCTAAAAAATAAATTAATAAATAATGCCAAAATATAGAGCTAAATTATACAGTATACTTTACCAATTTTGCTGAAATATTGTATAATATTGATTTAACCTATATTGTTCAGAATTCATTACAACATATTGTTCAAAGTTGATAAATTCCACTGGTGCATTTTTTGGTGTATTGAGAATGTACAGATCTATATACAAGATAAATGAAAATGAAAACGTTTTAAACAAAATATAACAACTTACTTAATTGATTATCTGTGTTATCCACAAAATCATATACGACTGCAAATTGAAAATTTGATATCCATTTTATTTTAATAGGTTTTACATTTCCCGTTACATCGGTTGGTGGTAAATACTGCTTCATAGCTTTGAGTTCAGGTTTATATTGTGTTAAAGACCCATTTGAACTACCAATTATTATTTGTTTTCCTTTAGGACTCCAACTCAAACATCTAGAAGATATATTTTTATAGTAAAATACATAAAATAAACTTACTGTCGGTCAATTTACATACAGTGTACTTGATTGTGGTGGTAAACTGACAACATTGTACACCCCGCCATCTTTTAAGTCTATAATATGCAAGGATCCATCTGACAAACAACATGCCAAAGAATTTTGAACGCCTGGATTCCATGACATGTCTATTACATGTGATTCCTGAATAGCTGCAAGTTCAACACATACTAATGGAGAAATGGAATTCTGAAATTAAGTGTTGATTATGATTATGATGATGATAGTAATTATTATTAAATTTTACTTTTGAAATTAAATCCTCAACATTGTAAATAGTTATTGAAGTTTTTGAATTCACAATTCCTGCAACTGCTATATATTCTTCATCACAGCTAAGGTCTAAAAAGTTTGGGGAATAATCTAATGCTATTTCACGCCTTAAAAAATCTGTTAATGTATTTTTTTCAACACCAAAATCACCAACTAGATGCCGAACATGTTTCATTGAAATCACTAAACAAAATTGAAATATACATTTTAGTATTGAATAAAGTAAAAAAACTCTTAAGCTGAGTTTCTTAAACAAACATTTAACATTTAATGAATCAATAGACTGATCCATTACATTTTAGAAACCAACAAATTAATCAACTTATAACGCAATTTGGCATTAATATTAAATCTAGTGGAAGTATTTTGACAGTTAAGAATTCAATTTAACTCTGGTGAGGCCAGTTACAAAAAATAAATTAGATTGTAAGGCCAATAAAAACAATTAATAGTAGGTAATTTATTAATAGTTATAACAAAGTTCACATAATCATACATTTATGAATGACTGTATAAAATATCAGTAGATTTTAATTTTAATGCAAAAGTAAGAAATTGCTTTTAAAAAACCTATAATTTCCATTTCATAAAGAATACCTACTTAAAGGAAAGTTATTAGATTTAATTAAAGAAATTATGATATCTACGCAAAGATATTTAAAAACTAGAACAAAAAAAATTACATTAGATATTAAGTTGATTTTTTTATATCAATCTACACACTAAATTCAGGTATTATTTGAAAGTAATACTTAGATAATTTCAATACTATACATTGAAACTAACACTTTTAATAATAGATAAGCCATGAAAACCAAACTTGAAAAAGTATAAGGTACTACGAATATGTATTTTACAATAAAAAAAAAATGTACTGTATAACTAATTGCATCTAAAATTTAATTCAGATATAAAATAAAAATAAATATCTTACTACAAAGCTGATTGGGAGAAGCAACAATAGTTATTCCAAATCGGTTGGAACTGATGATCATGGCGGTAGATGTATCAAATTGGTGTCCTTCATTGAAAACACGAAGATTGCAGAATGCCGAACACTTAAAATCCTATGGATAAAATTATAATAACATAATAATATAAAAATTATTTATTCAAGTAAAAATTATACTGTTCGTACCAAAACGTCCACACATGATCCTTTAACGTGTGTACTCATTTTGATGTTGTTCTTAAAATTTAGTTACACTAAAAAAGAAACTAAAAATTAAGCGAGCGTCATGTTACATAGATACTGTATTAATGGAAATAGTTGTTCAAAACATGAGTTGCGCCACAGACAATTACTTATGACTAACATTAGCTACGGACAATGTTTAATCAAAAATTAAAGAGCACGCTGAGTCGTTGAAGATATTAAAAATTAAATCGTAACGACACAACCATCATCGGCATCATCATCACGGCCGGTTATTATCAAAATATTTCAGAATTTGTACACTGTATAGTCTGAACATACACTTGGTAAAAGGTATACCGTGTTTAGTAGTTGATTGTGAATTTCACGATTTATTTATCTTTATTATATATCTGTGGTGGTACCACAGAACAGTTCGGCGGTACACATGATTCGTCAATTTGTCATCATGGAAGAGATCATGAAACCCTTGTTAAACATATGTTACTTTAACAATTTTACCCGCCATTTCAATCCATTTGATCATCATCGTCCTAACAAATAATAATCATTTGTCATCCTCAAATCCCGACCCCGTATCTCGTTGTTCACTGAACTTCTCACTTTTGACTGTTAATTTCAAATCATTTGATCTATATCTTAACGTTGGTTAATTCGCTCATACATAATTGTTTCAGTAGATATACACACGCGTTCGATACAAGTTATCAATATCGCTTGCAATTCTGGTTTTCAAATTGTATTCACGTTTTCAACATGACCACGTTATTAGAGCTTTGCCGTAAATATTTCAATACTGACAATCTATACGAGGTGTTGAATACGAAAAAGGACGCTACGGACAAAGAAGGTTAGATATTATGCTCCTAATTCCCATGTGATTAGTGTTATTTCAAACTTACATGTAAATCTACGTAGGTGGGTACATATTTTAATGTTATTTATTAACCGTTGTGGTTTGTTGTAGTTCGCAAAGCATATTATGTGTTGTCGATGAAATACCATCCTGACAAAGTTACTGAAAACGAAAAAACTGATGCTACTGAAAAATTTAAAGTCATTAGTCGAATTCATGCTCTGCTCAATGATGCTGATAAGAGAAAGCTTTATGATGATGCTGGTAAGTTTTGGATTGTAGTGATTCAATTTTATATCATACTTAGATTCAATGGGTACGTAAGATTTTTTTAAGGGGGGTGTCATACTTCTTCATAATGTACACAAATTTACTTTTTTTTTGTTTTTTTGCTCGACTCTAAAAAATCATCTACCACTATGTTATGATAGAATATTCGATAAAAATAAAATAAAACATTTATACATAACATATATATTATTAAGCAGTTTGAACACATTTGGGAAAATGTGTCTACCAAAGTTTTACTTCCACTTCAAAAACTTCTTGATCAATATCATTTGAATACTTAAGGTAAGGTTAGGTTACTTACCCTTAAGTCTTTGATCACTTTGTTATCATGATTTTCATTGAAAATCCTATTACAGGTACTATTTTATATTTCTAACATAATGAGATCATTAAATAGTTAGTACTAAGGAATGAACTTAAATGTAATTAAAATACATAAATATGTAAGAGTATTTTATAATTTTGAGTAATTTCTAACTCGAATAATATGTTGTATTGAATATATATATTTTCCTTAAATTGTTAAATGTTGCCTATTAGGTCTCAGAATATTCTGCTAAACTTGCATTTCGCATCAACTGCAATTGGAGCTTATTTGAAACATCTAAAGCCAATAATTCCAAATTTTTAGAAAGGTGTCTGCCAATCTTTATATAATTAAATTATCTGAAAATGAATAGCCTTTTTTTTATAACAGTATCTTTTCCTTTCATGAGATTCCTCCCTATTTATTTATATATTTTTTTCTATTGTTGGTCTACCGACCTTGGTTTCCTCGTTAAATTTGGGTACAATTGCAGCCAAAAACTTACTAAAATCCGATTGCTATCACCCATTAGTAAGGAACCTGTCTTCAGTTGTGAATAAATATAATTTAATACAAGATACAAACCAAAAATATACCGATATTGTTGAATATTCATGTTTATTGTTTAATATATGGCTGTTTTCGTTGACTGTGACATAATCTTAAAATGTACAAATGGTGATACTCAATAATATGTTTTAAAATATTTATGAATTAGTAAAGTATGTAAAAGAAAATTGACAATTAATTTAATAAAAATTATTGAAATTTTGAACATATTTCTTAAGTTAATTTAATGTGCAAATTATTCCAATTAAACAATTATTTTTATAGGATGTGTTGGTGATGATATCGACCCCAATTCTGCTACAGAAGATTTCCCTTGGGAAACCTATTGGAGTTCAATTTTCAGAAAAATTACTGACAACGAAATTAGAGATTATGAATTAAAGTATAAAGGTATATAATATTCTAAATTGTTAACTAAATTTAATGTTATTTTAAATATTGAACTTGTTTTAGGTTCTGATGATGAAAAAAGGGATCTTAAAAAAGGATATTTAGCAGGGAAAGGGGACATGGAATTCATTATAAACATGGTTCCGTTTAGTTCAGTGTATGAGGAAGATCGCCTTCGAGAAATTTTAGGAAAAATTATTGAAGAAGAAGATTTACCAAGATTTAAAGCATTTAGTAATGAACCTCCTTCTAAAAAAAGAAAAAGATTAGCAAAAGTGAGTTAAACATTAATTTTGAAAAATGTTATTTCTAATTTTCATGTATTTGTTTAATTTTAGGCTAAAAGAGAAGAAGCCCAGTGCAAAATAGATGTAAAAAATGAGGAAAAAAGTAATTCTCATGATTTAATGTTGGCTATTAAAAAGCGATCAGCTGAACGTGAACAACAAATGGATAATTTTTTTGCTAGAATGGAAGCTAAATATTGTACACCGAAAAAAACCAAAAAAAATGTCAAAAAGACGTAATATTACTATAAATTATCTTATAGATAGTTTTCTGTATAATATGTATATACTTGACTCTTAAATATCTCATGAATATTATTTTATTCTATATAAGACCTTTGAAGAAATTGTGAAAAAAACTTTTTTAATAATTACTTCAATTCTAATGAACAGGTATTGGAAATTGTAAATGAATGGTTATATTTTTAATTATTATATATTTTAAATTATTCCATATCTATCTCAAAATAAGCAATGCACCACCTATACATCATTCTTTTTTACAAATGTTGAAGACTGGTTGTTTTTGAGAAATTACAAAACTATTTTAATTTTATATTCCAAATAATTTAATTAATAAAGAAGACATTTATTTAATTGTGTACATCAATATATTTTCAAATGGTCACATTGTAATTTTTTAAATATTTACAATTGTATGTTTGTCATATTGGATTGTGAGCAGGGCTATACGTATGTTAATACATTGGTTTTATGATTTATAATGTATTTTTTGTTTTTGAGTAAAAATACACTATTTATGTATGTTCTAATTATCAACTTCAGGTTTCTTGTAGGAAATGTTATCTAATTTGTACTTAGCTGTGTCAAAATAAGACATTTCTAATTTTTTTTAAAATTAATTGCAGAAAATAAAATATGTTTCGCTCAAAAGCTCATATGAATGCATTTGTTAACATTTTAATATTATTATGAAAATAATTGTGAGGTAGTCTTAGTTATCAATGTGTTATCAGATTTACAATTGAATTTAAATTATAAGATAATAAGCTTTTCACTAACAAGTGGTTCATATATGTAGTAATTTAAAATAATGCATTAATGCTATTTATAAGAACTATTATTGTTTTTTAACTTAACAGTTGTAAATATCTATGATTTCATTTTTATATATTGACATTAACATTGTCCACATAGACTAGTAGCGTTATATTCTGAATAAAGCGATAATTTTTTTTTTTGTTATGTATACACCATAAAAACATGATAAGTAGTTGAAATTAGACTTCTTTAGACAGAAAATTATCGACCTAAAAACATGCATAACATGTTAATCATTTTAAATAAACGCATCAATATTATTAGTATTCAGATTTTGACTAGTAAATATCTAGGTTTTATCATCAACGGCACCTCAGATTGCTAAAAATAATTTTTACATGTCATACATATATAACTACTCTGGTTGATGATTGGAATGCAACTGGGCGGGGACCAAAACTAGAAAACAATTCTTGCGCATCCCCAACGCTAGAGGTCCTAGCCTCATGGCGGGAAATTGCGCAAACGAGTTGTATTCTCATCATTCTATACAGAGTATAGGAAAGAAGGTATTGGAGAAATATAAATGGTTTGCTGGTATAAACGTTTCGATTTGCAGACAACTTAATAGTAATAGCCAAAAGTGAAGAGGAATTAAGTAACATGCTAATAAGATTAAATGAGAGCTGTAAATTATACAAAATGAAAATAAACAAAACATAAATACTAATATCCTGCAAACAATAAATGTTTTTGAACAGAAAAATAGAAAATGGGAAACTACAAACTGTTTCAATGTTTTACATAATTTAGAAAGCAAAATAATATAATATACAGTTAAACCTCATTAATCAGCCGTTCATCACACTAGTTCATGATGTAGATTAAAATAAACATGAAAACAAGTTCAATTATACAACTATGTACAATTGTTTAGCTTTAATATTGTTAGATATATGTATTTGATAGACTTAAGTATTGTAAGTATAGTAAAATATCCAATACAATTTTTTTAAATTTATGATTTATGATTCTTGGTTATTTAGTTTAATTTTTGGACAAACTAGAACCCTAATTAGTTCAGATTAATGAATTCTACTGTATCAGAAAAAGCAAGATGGACAATGAGCAGAATAGCACAAGCAAACATGCGATAAGAACCTATTCACGACAAACACTGTTAGTCTAAAAACAATAAAAACTGAAGTATAGGCAGTATAGCTTTTTATGGGCCTGAGATATAGACAATAATCAAAGCAGAAAAAAAGGATTGAAGCATTTGAAACACAGTGTTGGAGAAGAACATAGAAAATTTTATGAACAGAAAAAGTTATAAATTAGGAAGTACACAAAAGAATGAACCAGCAGAAATCATAATGAAAAACAAAGAAAGGAGATCTAAATGGATTAGAAATGTAATGAATTGATGGAAAAGCTGGAAGACCAAGAATACTGTTTATGAAACAAATCATAGAAGACATAGGAAAAATCAAGTACAAAAGAATAGAAAGTAAAGGTGATGGATGGGAAAAAATGGAGGTACATTGAGGTAATTGAACCAAACTAAGAATTGTTAACAAAAAAAAAAATGCACATTTGCAAAATGCAATGTTCAAATTTTTATTAAAAACCATTAATAAATAATCATAAAACTGATAGCTACAGTTAAATATCATTAACATGCTAATTTAAGATTGCTAAACAAATTAATATGCATGTAATCAAAAAAAAATCTTTGAAACTTGAATCTTAATAATTAGTACAGGCTCAAAAGTAAAATAAGCATGTAATTATCAAAAATACCTATTCTAATATTTTAACTACTTACATCATTTTTAAGAGCTGGGAAAACATTATTTGAGTCAATTGTGGTTTTAAATGTTGATAAATTAACAATCTGTGATGAAATAATATTTCCCATTGCTCGAATAGCTAAAAAAAAATGTATTATTATATAATTAATATACCTATTGTGTTCGCTACTAACTTACATTCTACACATTTTTTTAAAGATTGTTCCTCATTGAATATCAATTTAACTTTACAATTTGCTTTTTCTTTAGGCAGCTCTTGGACTTGTCTCCTAGCAATAACCATTTGATCTTTAATAATTCTAAAACACATTCATTTTATGTATTTACATTAATCATTGTTATATATTTCACTTAAATGTAACATACTTTGAAAGTGTAATACATCTAATTGTATGATTGTCATTGATAACAGAGCTTGTTAACCTATAATAATATTCATTTTTTTTTATAATACCGTTAAGAACCTTTTTATTCATATGAATACTATTAACAGCATCTGTGGCATTTGTTTCAAGTAATTTTTTTAGTACATTTGATCGTTTATGAACTTCATCATGTAACCTGTAATGAGACAATAATTAAAAGAGTTTTGATTTTATTTACACGGTTTAAATCTTACTTATTGATACATTCATCAATTTTGTCATTAATTTTCTTCTTTTCGGATTTTAGTTTCTCGATATATTCATCCGACGTCTCCAACAAAAAATCTAAATGATTGTTATCTTTGCTGCAAAAAAAAAATTTGAAGTTTTTATACCTAAAAAATTATTAGTCTTTCCATTGATAAATTTTTGGTTACCAAAATTCTCATCATACAATCCTTAGCTATAAGTCGAATATTTGATACACTTTTAAGAACAAAATCGCCTACTTTTTACCTTACCTTGTGTCAACATTAATTTCTATTTTTATTATTATATTTTAATATTTCCAAATGATAAATTTAGTTGCATTATTAGACCATATTTTGAAATAAAAAAATATAATATATAGACTTAAATTTTAAATTAATACAATCAAGGCAATGAAATGAAAAAAAACAGTTAATGCATTTTGGTTATCACTAAAAGAAACCTTACTGAAAATTAACATGGAAAATTTATTTTACCGTTGAATTCATTTTTTTTATTTTTTGGTATCACCAAACTGAATAACATAATTTATGCTATAAATAAAATAACTTAGAGTACTTAGTAATTTAACATTTATATATTATATCTTTTTGCCATACCTTAAGTCAAACAGCAACGATTGAAACTCTGTCTTAGTTTCGGTAGCCACTGTGGAAAGAAGTTTAAAAGCATGTTCCTTATGAAACATTAAATGACAAAGAGGACAAAGCATTACTGAACATATTATACAAAATACTTCTACACAATTCTGAAACAAAATAATAATGCTACTTAATCATATAGAAATACCTTATAACAGACCAAGTTAAGTTCATAAAATATGATGTAATTTACTTTTTATTTAAAATCTTATTTTTGTTAATAAATTTGACAATTTTGAAATTCAATGCTTTTTAATTTATTTTTATACTTATAACTTACCTTTATACATTGTGTGCAAGAAACAAATTCTTTTTTTAATGGATAAGACTTCATTAAAACAGGATTGTGATCTACATTCTTAATTGGATGTGTCTATTAATAAAAAAAATATATTTTGGACTAGAGAAATATATTTGTGCAGAAGAAATTTAAAGTTACTTTTGAACATGGTTTGCAATATATGCTTTTACAATGCATGCAGATTTTCTTTGCTATGAGTTGACAATTTTTTTCAGAACATATCTTCGAATGTGATTTATTTGGTAGCACAATCGAGTAATCGATGAGTTCACCTTCAGTTACTATTTTACATTTACACCGTACACCTAGATTTATATAACATTTTAAGATTTGATTATTTTTAAACTTGTCTAATATCTAATGAAACAAAAAATAAAATAATGAGTTAATTTTACCTAAATCAGTACTTTCTCTCTTAGTACAATCTTCACAAATAATATGAAGACAATTAAGAATTTTTGCATCTTCCTCTACATTTCCTTTACAAAATATACATTTTCCTACTGACCAAAGATCGACGTTCTCGTTGATACCATTGTCTGAATTCATTATTTTAAAGCTGGAATGAAAAACATATTCTCATAAATTAGGTTTTTTTTATAATTTAGTTTTTAATTTTTAATATTTTACTCATTTAACTGAGGTAGCTTCAGTAAAAAATGATAAAAATCTAACCTATTTAAAAAGTTAAAACTTTTAATGTTAGGCATCTACTAGAAGATAGAAGATGCATTTAGACTTTATTAAAAAAATTAAGTATTACTAGTTGCTTACTTACTACTTATTTGAATTATACCTATTATATTACAGGGGCAAGAACCAATATCTAACATGTACAGCGTACTTACACTGAAACTGGTTTCACCCGAGAAAAATCAAAAAGCGAAATCGTTACTGAATGATGCATTGTGACTTATCTTACGAGTTCGGTAGTTCTTTACCGTGACTTGAAGAAATGATCAGCAACAGGAGACCAATTTATAATTAATTAAAACCATACAGCGTACAAAAGCGATATTAAAGAATTACTAGTTAATAATAATATTACCAACATATAATACAATGTACACAAATTGAATGCCAATACATAATAAACACATAAGACTTATTTTTAGCAATATGGCGGATAGTTGTAGCTGCGTCGGCAAACAAACTTCCCCACCACGACTCAATTGACGGCACCACGATCGAATAAAAGTAAAACTGCATTACGGCGATTAAAATAATAACATAGACAAGTAAATTCGCAGAACCGTATTTTAGCAGACAACTAATATTGTGACCAACTTGGGATAGTGTTGCATAGCAAGTCGAGGGATATTTCGTTTTTGGACGAGCGCAGGTCTGAAGCAAGCGAATGACCACTCGTGCATCACTGTAAATAATTTAAGATGTTTTTACACGTTGGCGACACTGCTGGATCACCGGTATAAATATAAGATCTATAACCGTGGTTACCACAATGATTTTACCATGTGGCATGCACATTTACCGTTCGGCTGAGATATGGATCGGATTAAATATAGTTCTGATCAAATATGTTTCGGCTTAAGTACTGCCGGATGAAATATTTTCGACCGAAGTTATGTCGGCTACAATAATTTCGGATTTTTTATAGCCTCTCGTACGATCGCAACCAGGTTCCATCTCAAAAACAGAAAGAGTACTAGAGGGGTCTTGCCGACCACTGATTTCTTCTGCTAGACCAACTGGTGGCTTAGTGAGACGGAGAGGGGTAGAAACTTGGCGAATTTTCTACGTCCCTAGCTCAGACCTGAGTATACTGTATAGTAACAGTTCGGACTTCGGAACCAACATTTTGTACAGAGTCGAGAGGCTCTGTTATTTGATTCAAGAAACCTAGGGGGTCAGCTAGGGCCTAGGCCTGAGTCTAATCGTTCTGTAATTGGTCGTCACAGGTCGACTGTGGCCGTGACTACTTGTGGTGGAGAGACATGGGCGAGTTTCAACATTCAACCGGTTGTCGACTGCCACCGGGTACGCTCTTATTTGATACGGAATATATATACTTTCCAACAGGCGCGGATCCAGCCAACGTTAACGGGAGGGGCGGATTATAAATATTTAAATATATTTACTATTTACCTGCTGGTAAATACGATTATATATTTATATATGTATATATATTATAAATATGCAATAATTGCTTATTAATTATAATGAATATTTTTTTTCTTAAGCTAAATTGAATTATTTACCCTCAATCGGTCATAATATTATTATCAACAATTTATAAATATGTGTTTTTAAAATAAAATACGATTTGTGGCTGAATAATATTACAACACATTTACATGGGATAACACAAAATATTAAATTTAAATAATACGGACAATGGAGGGGAGCAGTCGCCCCTACCGCCCTGACTGGATCCGCGCCTGGTTTCTAAATTTTATAACTATATAATATTGCCATACTATTAATCTCATAGGATATGCTATATGGAAAAATATTTAAAAATGGACAAAGAAATAAATATTAAATAATACCATAGAACAATAAAGTAACGACACTAGTACACTACTTGATAGTTGGGCGCTGAAGGTTTGGGGTTGATGTTATAAACGAGTAATACCCAACCTTTTTTCCTCGACTAACCACTTTGGTAAGTATATATTCAAGTTGGCAACCAATTATAAAAGTATAGATGATCTCAATCTTAATCACAAGATATAATGGTTGCCCAACGAGCATGGAATTGTCGTCTTAAAAATTACCATTGATCAATGTTATTACTCTCACGATAAGATCAATCCAGCAGCTATCGATAACAGCAGCGGGACATTGAAGTACCATTGAACTATAATATTATACTTTTATATTGTTTTCGCAATCGCAAATTCGCAAATCACAATTCACAACATATGTATGTTTGCAAATATTAAATAAATTTGTAAATAATTAAGTGTTTTTTTTTTGCATTTTTTTATCACATTATATTTTAATTTAACATTATTTATACGGATAGAGAGCGCACTAAGTTAGTTAAGAAGCTGATTCTGAAAGTAATTTCAATTAAAAATGATGTCACTTATGACAGCTCGTCGGGCAACCATTCTATCTTTAATCGTGGTCTTAAACTAAAAATATAATTTTGCTACACATAGTGGGTCGTGGGTGATAGGTATACAATATACACGTAGGTTACGATTAAAGAAGTATGGTTACCCAACAGCATTAAAAGTGTCTACCGAAATGAATCTTTTCTACTACTAACTAATTTAGGTTTAACGCAATCTTAAGCGTCCCCATTTCCTGTGTTAAAAGGAAAGGTTTCTTCAGGTTCTTCACAGTTTAGCAAATCTCCAAAGTATTTCCCCTATTTTTAGGCTATTTCGTCATCAGTTGTTATTAGACAACCATCTTCGTGTCTCAGAAATCTTTCTTTCTTTTTGTAATTTCCTCTTGGATTATTTATACAACTGTATATATCCCTGGTTTTATTTGCTTTGTGATTCTATTCCGCTTTATTCATTATATGTTGTACGTATTTTCTCTTTTCACATCTTATGGTATTGCTTGCTTCCCTGTGTAAAATTCTGAAACTTGTGAACAGGCCTTCATTATTTGTGTCATTCGACCACTGTTGCCTTGCTAAATTCCTTCTACGTACAGCACTCTCGCAGACTTCATTTAACCATGGTTTTAATTTTAATCATTTTTTTTATTGTATGAAGGCCCTGGGTTCCAATATAACTCCTATATTCTATTTCTTGGCATAATTTTGCGTTAAAATCTCCCAGCACTATATTAAGCCATTAAGGCTTCCCTCAGAGAAGTCAAACACATTGGCTAGTGTGGCATAGAAATTCTTTTTCCTCTTCTTCCTTTTCTTCAGTGGGTGCATGTTCATTAATTAATACAATATCGACATTATCTGTTTTTAGAGTTAAAGTTTTTAGTCTTGGGTTTATATCTTTGAAGTCTTTTACTGCATGGATAATCAATTCATGTATAGCAAATCCTCGTCCCTAAACTGTGTTCGTTTTGACACTTGCCATTAAATATAGTTGTTTGTGTTATCTTTGTTGTTCCAACGTCTTCCCATCTAACGTCTTGTAGGGCTATGCATTCCATTTTATATTTTTCTAATTCTCTTACTAGGTCTAAAGCTGCTCCGGGCTTGTACTAAGTTCTAATATTCCATATACCTCAAAACATTTCCAATTTTCAGTCATTTTTCCATTTTTTCCAGTCCGAGGCTTGGAGGGTGATTCCTGAACATGTTGTTTTTTTACAAGGCAGGGTTGTTAGCCCTGCGCTTAACCTCCTACCTAAAGGTCCCGACTACCCCAACCACCAAAAGTCAACGTAGAGCTATTGCAATGTACGTTGGATACATTGGGCGATGGGGACGCTACTTTCCCGACACCATATCATGTATAACAATCAACTTCCTAAATTGTTTTAAAAAAAAATAAGTTTAAAATATATTTTATATTAACAAAACTATTTAAAACGTTATACTAATACATTTATAGATTATACTATATCACAAAAATTACTTCGAGTCACTTGTTAGTTATTACGTAAAAAACTTGGTACATTTACTAAAAGATCTTATTAATCGTAATGAAATTATTATTTTACATGTACCTTTTTTAATAATTTAATTAGGTTAGACATAAAAATCGAATTTTAGCATATAATAGTTTGTATTCTTTATTTATTGGTTTATACTTTTAAGTAAACAGGAGCTTTAATTAATAATTGGGTTGCTGTACGTGAGATAGATGCCCCGCGCCGAGCTCTAGTGCTTAGGAAATACATGGTCAACAATTTACTCAACAGTCAAATACATAGAAGCGAAACTTTCTGAACGACCGTCCATGTAATAATAACATAGATTAGTTTATATAAATAATGAATAATAAATAATAATGTTCGTCTCCCACGATTACTAAGGACCATGGCTTAAGATTACGAAAGCGAAACTACACATTAAAAGTAACTACAGAAATGATGCCCAGAGATTCTCGATTATAAACAGCTGATGGTTTGTGTGAGAATGGTAGCTAGTTCTTACAGCCAAAAATAATATTATTTATCATCAACCATCATTGTTATTTTTAAACATTTACCCTCGAATTTTCATCATTGGATAATAGATATTTGGGATTTGTAATAATGCTACAATACACAATCCTCTATAGTTTGCTTTTTAGCAGTGTTGCACCAATTTCCATTTTAAATTGTTTTACTTTTTAGTAGTTTATTTTGTACACTTTACAAAATAAATTTAATATTTTTTATTTATTCCAATATGGTTTCCAACAAGTGTTGTGTTCCTGGGTGTAGTCAAAGTGCTGCATCTAAATTTGGTGTTCCTAAAACCATGATTAATGTTTAGGAAAATATTATTTGGTGTTCTGATTTATACAAATTTTAAAGAATGATGGTAACTTAAGTATGGAATCAGAGTTGGTAAATTTAAAAAATAAAGGATGTTTAACTCATCCTAGTGGTAGGTAACTTTTATAAAATATTAAAAGCAATGGAAACTTGTTTTTGTAAGCATGCAAGTGCTGGTGATGTATTTAAAAATACTTATAATGAATTTTTTCTTCGTGTAGCAAGCCGCCAAGCCAACAAGCCTGACATTTTCATGTTCGATTCATAAATATGAAATGATATAACAATGCTTATGAAGCAATTTACATACATTGAAAATCAAAAATCAAATTAAATTATAATTGTTTATTTAAGCTTATATTTTTAACATAACCTATTTACTATTATATATCAATTAAATGGGTTCTTTAAATGTGTACCCTGTTATCTCGAGCTAGAAGCATAACATATTTTATTGTCGTTTAGTTATGATGTGATTTCCAATGAACTGCATTTATTTTTTAATTATATCGATTATATATTATACTGTGAGCGTGTTTACTGTTTATAGCTTGTAGGTACTAATTGTTTCTTAACATATGTTTTTGGGTTCGGTGCAAATAAGTAAGACTAAGCCACTATAAGGTACTTATTTTAAATGATGTTCTTTTCTAGGTTTTTTTTGCTAATACCTATCTAAATGTCGAAACCAATTAAACAACAAAGTTTAAATAATAAAAAAAAAAATGACAATGTTATAAGAGGTCTACAGAACCTAAAGTTTGGTGACCAGAGACGACAGCACGGGAAGCGACTCTTTGTCGAACTATAGGTATTATTAGCCGAATTCTAACTTAACATCGTTTTCAGGATGACCTACTACACGCGCTCTTGTCCCTCTACTGCTCTATAAGATTTATCAAATGTATACTTAAGTTTATACTAGAATAGTAGAATTGGGTTAAAAAAATTAGGAGTGGAACTTATTTACAAATGTTTTTTCTTGTACCAAATTCTACGCTGTGTTCACTGTTGAGATATACTAATTTAAATATGAGAATCCCAATGTAATAAAACTACATATAATTACCTGAAAAGGGTGCTCGAGAAAGTATAACAAAGTTCCCAAATGTCTATTGATCAGTGATCAAAAAACTAATTAACTCATTTTAGTGGAAGTAGAAAAAGGTACAGTTTTCACTAGGTGCTGAAAACAAAAATCGCAGGGAAATTTGAAATTCCCAAATCAACATTGTCAGCAATTATTAATATTAATAATATAAATAATAATTATTATATTAGTTCTTGGCAATCTTGATTCTTAGTTAAGTTAGGTTATAAAACTCATATTTAATTTAAAATTACCCGCCTTATTTACACCGATTTATTATTGTTCTGTGTTTGAACGCTACATTCATGAGCCTCTATGAAAAACTGCCACTCGTCGTGTTAGTATCGCCTACCAAAGTATCAAATATAGCGAGTCTTTGAGTGTCATAGTAATTTTCTAGGTTAGTAATTTTCTAGGTCACACTTAGTTTTGAGTTTGTTGTTTCTTAAGTGCACGTTAAAATTTTTGGCTATTATAATAATAATTAACAGCCATAAATCATAACGCTTACATTGTAATATTGTATTGTGGACTCACTCTTACAACGTTTGGCTGATGTCTGTGTTTCTTTGTCACTGTAGTACCATGTGGGTATAGTAAAATATATAAATATAAATGGTAATATGGTATTAACATAGAACGTAAGTATAACTAAAAAGTGTATTCTTTGTTACTTACTAGTTAAGTTAGCCTTACCTAACCTGGCTAACCTTGCTACTTGCTTTTTTTATAGTGTTATCCACTGTTCAGGGCAATCAGCTAATTGGGATTGGAAGTTTAGTATAGGTAAATGCTAAATTAGTTATTACTAGTGCTCAGATTTCGAATTTCCATCTTGATTCTGTTAGTTTGTCTTCCTCTTCACTCTTCACACTTAGCTGACTGCAGTAAAACAATTTCGTCTTAGATGTGTTAAATATTTTTGGTCTTATAAATATAAATATACTAGACGTGCAGACTTCGCAGACGGCACTAATATCAACAAAACATTTGTAACTGTGAAAGTGTGGATTAACCTAACATTAACTTAGTATCAATCAATCATTACCTACTCAGAAAGGTTCTCTCACAAAGAGTCTTGGTTAGGATTAATAATTATTGACCTTTGCATAAGGTGGAAGAAGTATCAACATTCAATAATTTCTATGTCACAAGAATAATTTTCATTTAATTTTATATGAATTAAAATGAATATATTATACATTTTGATTCCCAACATTATAGATAAATCAATTGGTTGTTGAATTATCAATAATCAGGTCCATTTGACAGTAATATCAAAGATTTGAAGTAAGTTATATAAAAGGACACAATATACAAAAATAGGTAAGCAAATACAACTACAGGGTGCGGCATAAGTTGGTTCCCCAATTAACACAGCAAATTAAATATGTGCGGGAACCAACTTGTGCCACACCCTGTATATTAAATTCAATAATATTTAGTATAATATAATATACCACCAAATATAAATAATTTAGTAATTGCAAGTTGTGATATAAAAATATTTAAAAAGTTATCAATCTCAAGTGCAATAGGTAGGTACATATATTTATTTTGATAGCATAGTTTTTAAATATTCAGAAAAATTAATTTTTGGTACATGATTCCTATTTAGTAGTAAGACTTTTTTATCACTATTTTAGTAAAAATTATATTTTATTTAGTAGAATTACATAAATTATAGCCCCCTAATTCTTGGACTTTTGAGAGTAATATTAGAGCCCCAATTATAAAATGTGGAGGTGCCCAGATACACCCGTGCCACCGATGTGCATGGCTATGGCATTCACACAATAACTATATATAAAAATGTATCTACCATTTTGTAACCTACCATTTACAACAAATTTTAAAAGGTATTATATCCATAACCAAGATGGATGCTGTACAAAAAGAAGTTCTCACATTCAAAAGGTGTGAACCAAAAAAATGCATAAATGCCTCTCACATGGTTGGAGTATTTGAAATCCTACAATCTTTACGCAAGTAAGTTGTGAGTGATTTTTAGTTGCTAGTAAAACAATACTAATACAAATTTTTGTTTTTAGAGATGAAGTGTTGTGTGATATTAGGATTGAAACAAACGATGGCACAATTATATTTGGGCATAAAGTTGTTTTAGTGTCAGCTAGTCCATATTTTCGTGCAGTGTTCATTAGTTTTGAAGAAACTAATAAAGATCTGATACTTATATCAGAATTAGATTCTCCTGTCTTACAACTCTTAGTAAATTATATTTATACTGGCGAAATCATGGTGACTGAAGAAAATGTTAAGGTATACAATCAATTATCTAATGATTTTTTTTAGACATGCACAGATATTATTTAAATATATTATTGTTAATTTCTGAAGGTTTTGTTATCAGCTGCAAATTTCTTACAGTTAGACTATGTAAAAAGTGTTTGTGTAGAGTTTCTACAATCACAACTGAATCCTTCCAATTGTCTTGGTATCAAAGCATTTGCTGATTTACATAACTGTACAGAATTGTTTTCAAGTTCTGAAGCATACATAAAAAAACAGTTTTTGTATGATATGAACAACTTGATTTTCTGGTTCCGTTAATAATACATATTATACATGGTGATTATTATTTTTCAGAGAAATAGTAAAATATGATGAGTTTCTATCTTTAACTTCTGTAGAAGTGATCAAGCTAATTTCCGCTGATAACCTTTTTGTTCCATTAGAAGAAAAAGTGAGCTAAAATTTATAATTAAATTTTAATATCGGACGGAATATAAATTTACACTTCTAATTATAATTGGTGCTAATTTGGTATGCACTCTACAGGTTTTGCCACCCTCACTCAGTCTGCGTTTTATACGGGGATGTTGGACAATATTATGTTATATATTGCCTTGTTTTTATATGTTGAATATAAAAAACTACTTAGGTAAATGGGATTTTTACAATACCATCGAGAGATATGTTACCTTTCATTTGAAAAAAAAAAATTGAACTATTTTTAAAAACGTACAGAGATATAGCCTAAATCCTCTGAAATTGACCCTAATCACCCACATTTTATGGTATGTAGACCACATACCGAGTCAGAAACTTGTCTGTAGAGCGCATACCGAATAAGCACCTTATAATCTTATACGGTAGAAAATTGAATGGGCTATACAATTTCACATATTCCATAATACAAAATGAATAGGTTGTCCCATGTTTGGACATAAATATACAACATAAATATTTGTGTAATATCTTAATATCTGTATAATAATATAATTTTAATTTTTTCAGTTGATTAAAGTAATTGTAGAATCATTAAAAAGGTTGCAGAAATATAGGTCACATTGATTTAGCAGAAAAGGTTAAAGTTGAGCTTTAAGCATTTAATTTCTGTCAAATATTCGTCTGCAATATTTACATTTTGTATAAGAAACTATTTTATGACTTATGAAGCTATAAATTAAAAATATTAAAACTAAATTTGTTTTATGAATATAAAATTCTTATAGTAAATATTTTTTGACTTGCTATTTCAAAAGTACCCACTACCCAACAGTATAAAGATGCTCTGATAAAAAATTGTAGCCAATAGATCAGTGGTTTTCAAACTGGGTGCCGCAGCACACTGGTATGTCGCGAATAACCACTTATTGTGCCGCGGTTTTTCCATAAATTACCGATTGCATTGAATTTTTCATCTAAAAAAAAGGTCAGTGTGCTGTGAAAATTTTTTAGGGTGTACGGTGTGCCGTGTATAATAAAAGTTTGAAAACCACTGCTATAGATATTAATTATAAGAACTAGCTTTATAAAACATTCTTTAAGCTTGAATGAAGCATTATCAATTTTATCTTGTAAACAGTAACTGAACACAACTATTTAAAAAGATTGATTTAAATACCAGAGAACTTGCTTCTGTTACATGGTCAGTTTAAAATCAATATTTAAATTATTGTAGGTAAGTGCACGAAAAACAATTCTTTGAATTTTAACTTAATGAGCTTATTAAGTAAAATAATATCTTCAATATTTTTAAACTGCTGTAGCTCAAAGGAGGGTATGTATCATATTTTCACACCTGAAGTATTAAAATTGAAAATTATTTGAATTTTGAAACATTACTAGTACTGAAATTTTAATAATAACAGTTTAAGTAAAGAATGAACAATTTTTCATTAATATTAATTAGTTAATCTACCTAATGGGAACAGAAGCCGCTTTAGTTGACATCAATAACTATTTACATACCAAAAAGGATGCTAAAAAAAATTTTAATTTCATTCTTGGACTTAGAATAAGCATTTGATTTAATCAGTAGACAATTATTACTTATTTTTTTTGCTTCCCTCGCCATTTAGGCGCTTTGCAGCTTCTACCAATGTTCTCAATTTTACAAAGCCAGCCATTCAAGTCTTTTGATCTCAAAAAATAAAGTAATAGTAATAATATTGTTTCTAAAGTATCTATTTATTATGTTATGTTTATTTAATGAAATCATATTTTTATTTGTATACGTTTTTACTTTAAAACAAACTGCAATATCGTTGAACTCCGTATGCCAGATATAAGCTTACAGCTCAGGTTGTATACATATCAGCTATTATACAATGTATTTTATTGTAATTATTTAATTGTGATTGTTTTGGCTGAATAAATAACTAATAGTTCTGAATTTCCATCTATGATTTCTGGTACAACAAATAAATTTATAAAATTAAAGGTGCTTGTTTTATATCATTGCATTTTGTTGTACATTAATAACATTGTATTTATTTGTTGTTATAGGTGTTCGAATGTGTTACCAATTGGGTGAAACATAAATTGGAATGTAGAAACATATTTTTGCCCGAATTAATGGTACATGTACGTTTGTCATTAGTTTCAAAACAGTTTATATTGGAAAAAGTAGTTGACGAACCTCTTATTAAAAATAGTCCTAAATGTATGTTATTTCATAAATACTAATGTTTTTATTATAAGTTTACCTACATTGTATTACTTTAAAATTATTAGGTAAAGATTATGTTAGTGAAGCATTATATTTTCATCTTTACAAGTCAGTACATCCTTTTACCAATCTTCAGACAATTTGGAATAAACCTAGACAGTTTGGTGATTTACAAAAAGTATGATTCAGTTTTGTTTGATGTATATTTAAAACTTATTGAATATTTCTTCCAGGCTATTCTTGTGTTAGGTTGGTCTGGTTCCATGAAAAAGAGTTCTTTAAACTGGTATGACATTGAAACCGATAAATGGCAGTGTGTACTAAGTATGAGGGAGGGCTGTCGGCCTTCTCACCTTGCATCAATAGCAGAACAATTTATATTTGCTGTAGGAAGTTATAAATCAAAAAGTCATTCCGTTCAAATGCTTGATTTATCTTCACAAACACCCTATTGGGTACGAATGCCTGACATGCTAGTTGGTCGAACACATTTTAGAGTTTGTGTATTAGGTAATTGTGTATACGTTGTAAGTTATACTAGATTAGTTATTTTATATTTTAAATGAAAAATATTATACTATATTAAAATCTATAGGTTGGTGGTTCATCAAACAGTGCCGAGGTTTTTGATGTCAGTATTGAAGAATGGCGAATGGTTTCTAGTATGTCTGCTACGAGGTCTAATTTTGGTATTGGAGTACTCAATAATCTTATATACGTGGTAAATTATGTTTAATTATTTTTTCAATTTTATTTTTGATACGTAACATATTTTACTGTATAGGTAGGAGGTTATGATGGTTCATCATGCCAACATTGTAAATCTGTCGAATGTTATGATCCAAGTCTTGACACATGGATTCTAGTTGCAGAAATGTCCCGATGTCGCAGTAGTGTTGGTATAGGAATTTTAGATGGTGTTATGTATGCTATTGGTGGTAATAATGGTTCAACATATTTGAAATCTGTCGAGGCCTATACATCAAATACTGGAGTTTGGACTACTATTGCTGATATGAATTTGGAGAGATACAATCCTGGTAAATATTATAGTCATTATTTCAAAGACTATCATTTGTATTGAATTGTATTGAATTTAAATTACATTTTTAATATAGTAGTAGTCGCATTGGATGGCTTATTGTATGTTATGGGTGGACTAGATAAAGTTAAAAACATTTTGGATTCTGTGGAAATGTATAACCCCAGCATTGATACATGGAAATTAATGGAAAATACAATAAATTTTACTGATGAAATGGATGCAGCAATAGTTGTTGATAGGCCACCACATTTTGTAAGCGATTAGTATAAAATATAATATCATGGTTAGTAATTATAATACATACAAATTGTATATATATTTAATGATAAAATATGTTTTGTTATTTTATAAGCTTAAAATTTTGTAAATGTTTGAATAAAAGTTTTTTGTATAATTTAAACTGAATATTTTTTTTTTATTATTTATTTATTTAAGCTTTGACAACTGAGGCCATTAGCTGTAGGTTGTGGTACTGTAGGGTTTTTGGAACTGTAGGGTTACGGAACACGTGTGTGTTTGTTTGGCAGAATTTCTAGTGGGCATCCGTAGGTTTCTGCCATGCCCGGTTGGGGGATGGCGGCCTCTCTCCGGACACCGTGGTCCGTGACTGCCCCGCGAGAAGTGTCGCCCATGACCGAGGTTCGAAGTTCGAACCGGCGACGGTGCTCGTTGCAACCGACGCGATCCACTCGGCCACTCCGTCCCCCAAACTGAATATTGTTGAATCAAACAAATATGTAATAAAATTAATTATAAATTATATTCTATCAACTAAATATTTTATTTACATTGTATTAATACACTTTTAACAAAATAAACTTAATAATTTCAATTAAAATTGTAGTGCAAAATAAAGTTTCTTTAAATGTTTTTAATATTTTTTACACATTGATAAAATATTTAAGTACTATCTTACTCAAATTATTCCACAGTAATCTACTATATTATTACCACACGTCCACACTGTCTCAGCTTTGTCATAATTTCCATTTCCCTTAGACTTAGCCCCCCCCCCCTTCCTGGTTATGCCATTGGACATATTTTACATTATACTTTTATTAAAATCTCTTAAAGAGGCCGTCATTTCTTTTTTCCGTGTTATCGAGAACCGGGGGAGGAACTGGTGTTGGCATTGCTTCTCCCACGGTCTCCATCGTTTATTGTGCAACAAAACCAAAAGTAATTATTACAGCAATAGCAACCTAGGATGCGTCCCGCCCCGCTATCATATGGACCTTCCCTAGCACTGGGTATGTATCCACCTGGAAGTGGTGCTCGGTGGGCTCACATTCAAAATATCGCTTAGGGCGTCGTTGTTCACTGGCTCACTGCTATCGGTTTCACGGGCAGACCGAAGTCCGCCGCCCCGGAATCTCGTCACTGGTTTCTCTCATGCTGTAGTTCTGCGGTGCCGTGATCGCTGTACCCGCCCATATGGTCAAAGGGTGTAAGAAGAACATGGGTCGGTGACACCTTTGACGGTTGCTGTGCAGCGTGGACTCGTCTTCCACGTTCTTCTGTCCGAGGATTGCGGTAGTGACCTTTGAGGATGGAGGACGGTTTTCGTGGGGTCCCTTTCACCTCGGCACCTTGTCTCGCTCTCTTCTCCTCCTCCTTTATCGTCATCACGTCTTTGACCATCTTGTAGTATATTCTAAAGGTCTCCTATTGCTTCTTTGTGTTTTGCGTCGGCGGGGAGACCCTCGAAAGCCGGTCCGCAGACGATGTCTAGCAAATCCGCGAAGCTCGACCGGCGGCCGAGGCGCACTTCTCGATTGTTCCTGTGTCCAGACTAGTACGTGCACTCGAATAGGGTATGATTGGCAGTCTCGGGCTCTCCGTAGCATTGATAGCAGCCCGAGCTAGCTGCCCTGTCCATCTAGTGCGGGTAGTGCTGGAAGCAGCCATGGCCTGTCAGTACTTGGGTCATGTGGTATGTCAAAGGTACCATCGGCACGATCCTCCCGAGCCACCTGCCTACATCCGGGATTGCCAGTTGCGTTCACGACGCTTTGGTTGAGGCGGATCATCTCGCTTGCCACAGGGTGATGGTGACTTTCCGCTCCTCGGTTTTCATGGCATTTTTGGTAGGGAATGGTGCACCGGAAATGTTCGGTCCCTGATCCTCAGGCTCTCGTGCTACTTCACATAATCATAATCCAGACACCACTCATCTCAACCGACCAATACTAAGTATTATGTTGCAAAGCAAAAAAGCCTATCGGATCTTAGCACAAAACCATCCAACATTTTTAGTGCTGATGAAGTTATGAAATTTGCAGTTAATGATATAAATTGAGTTCTGAAAAACATTTTTAATAATTCTCTTGGTCAATCCTACCAAAAATTCCAAAATATAGAATATTTACACAATTTATTACAAGAGAACCCTGTACTTATAGCTGAAAATGAAAATTTTGTCCCAGTCAACAACAGGCAAAATAATATCATATTATTTTCTTGTGATAAAAATATTAGTTTGTTAATAAAAATGTAAACTATTTATGTCGATGGTACGTTTCAATAAGGAACAATTTTTTTTATTTCCCGATAAAGAAACTCAAACATGTACTAAAGCATTTAGTATTTATTCACTTAAGTGTTCAAAGTGGCGAGGGCTTATATTATCACCAGACAATGTATTTGCTGACTGAAATTTCAATGCATTCAAATAGTTTGGAAAGAATCTAAAATTAAAGGATGTCTCTTACACTTGGACCAATCCTGGTAAGACTGAATATTACCTATGTCTAAAATGTTAGTAAAAATATCATAATAAATAAAATGGTACTTTAATAATTGATTATTACCTAATTATTATAGGTGGAGAAACCTAACCTAACCTGTGATAAGTACGAGTGTACGACCCGCTGAAAAATATGGAAACGAGCCCTTGCGCCAACCTGAGATTTTACGTATGTGTCCTACCTATTACCTACCTATACAGTATCTATAATATAAATATATCATACAATTGATGACAATTATAGATAGCAGTATGTAATTAACTAGGGAAACTGCACATAAAGAACAACTTACACATTTGTGTATCAATATAGGTACAGTCAGAACAAACCTGAAACCAATAAAGATTTTGAGCTAAAATTAATTATTTATTTATGCATATGACACCAACGAGTAATAAGATGTAGATATATAAATAGGTAACAGTATTTATAATAATTATGATGACATCAACACTAATAAATACCTAATAGGAATTACAGAATTAGAAAAAAATAATGATTATGGATAACTTATCCTTGTACTAAAGTATTATTTAAGGATTAAAACTTGTGAGGTTATTCAAGTATTAAGTATAATTGTTTTAGTGCCTATGCCCAATTATTCCTATGATGGGTATCTAATAGGAAGTTGCTTGACCATAACTGTATTTTAGCTCACAGCCAGGAGCGTCATTTGGGGGGGGGGGGGCACACTATGGCAAATGCCCCACTCTAAAAATTTTTAAAAAGTCGGCAATTCTTTGTCCGATGATCAAATGCTAAAATCGGTAAATACTAAATTTGTATTTACTATTTTATACTCAGAAATCAGATATTATTCTAATATTCTCTTTTAAATACGCATTCACGGTTATTAATATGTTGGGAAACACTGGCTCCTCCTCAACTTATGACAATCGTTATTACGCGAAATACTTCTATGAAATATCTAGAAAAATTCTAAAAATAGGTATACAACAAATTGTTTGTGTTGATAACATCAATAGCCGTTGCCGACTTCCGCGATCTAATCATTAACCAGTATTATTAGTTTTAACTGGTATTATAATTTCATCAAAGTTTTAAATGTAGTAATAATACAATTTTAAGTACAGGGTGGGGCAATGGGTTCTGACGAATTTTAATCGTAGTTTATTATTCAAGTATTATAAACAAAGTAATGAAACATATTGTATTTTATTCAACATAAAGATTATTTCTAATTGTTGTCAACAAAAATCTTTACTTTTAAAAATTACATTACTTGAGTGGCCATTTTGTAAAAGTCGGCTATCCGTTTTTTCAAAGGTACTGTCTATAACTCTTTGTAGGATATGCAGATCGATGGCTGTAATTTCCCGTCTAATGTTTTCTTTTAACTCTAATAATGTATGCGGATTATTAGTGAATACTTTAGATTTCAAAATATAACGCCATAAAAATAAATCAGGTGGAGTCAAATCAGGAGAATGTTGAGGCCAGGTAATATCTCCATTATTACCCTCAATAAATGCCGTAACGACAAAAACGCGCTGATTGACAGGCCACCTGTCGGCTGTCCGTGATTACTGGATACAGTAAAACTAGACATCATGAACTTTAATTTGGCGGTAAACTAGTTTATCTTATATACTTTAGTACCTCCCCACAGTTCTCTATAAATCGTCAGAACCCACTGCCCCACCCTGTATTTATTTAATATGATTTATATTATTATTCCATTAAACCTAATGATACTTGATAGGTAACTTATAGGATAAGTAAATAAATTAACGTTTTACTATTTTTAATGTTATTATTTAATTGGGTAAATTGAAACGTTTCATGTTATTTGTTTATCATCATGATTCATGACATCATTATTCATTAACCCTTACATTTTTTGTTCCGAAAAAAATATTTTGTTGATGGTCTATCGTCCATACATATTAAATATATGTAGATAACCATAATTTTTTAAATATTATGAAGTCGGCAAATTTAATCAGTTGCCCTATCCTTTCAAAAGTTGAAATGACGCCCCTGCTCACAGCAATAGGTAGTGGTGCATTTAAGAAAGGAAGTGATCTCAGTACCATAGAATGGATTAAATATAATCTACCACTTTGTATAATGTACCACTAAGTCTAGATGAAGCAAGTGTATTTTGATTAGGTATGTGATTTAAAATAATAATCATCAACTACTTGCATGTGTAAAGCAGATAATATAATAAACACCAAAGTAGTAATATAGTATTCTGGTGAATCAAGGCTTTATGACAATGAGCATTACAAAATATATGTTATTACTATTGACTATGAATATTAATTTTAATTTATATAATTATTTTTTTGTATTTTTTTATCATGATACTGAATCATATAATATCATCCTACAAGCGGACTGTTGAAGTGATGTAGAGTGTGGCTCCGTCTCTTGTGTTATTATCTCTTAGTTTATTACTTATTAGTTATTTTGTTGTCTCCGTAATACAAACGTGCAACACAGGTACTTATACAATTTTAGTTCACTAATTTTGATTACGTGCAATTAGTTTTAAAATTTTAAATAAATATTATTGTTATTATTATTAGTGCGAATTGGC